GACTGTCAGCATGTTACGAAGACAAGAGAGGAACGTAGGGCGGCTGATCGAGCACGGCAAGAACGGGATCGGTTGCGCGCTGAACAGACTGAGCGGAGAGCCCGAAGACGTGCGATCTATGGTTCAGATTCCGACAGAGATGACATTGTTCCACCGAGTCCTACATTCAGTGAGGAGCAGATGGATATGATCCAACTTGAAGCCAACAGCCCTGGGGCTGGGTCTGACTGAACTACGGGTGGATGAAAGAATGGATGGATATATGATTAGTTTAACCCGACCGGACGAATGATGAGATCGTACGTACTGTACTGCATGGCAACTTGCTGGAAAGTGTATATACCGTAATATTGATGATCTACCAAAAGTATATTTAACCAAAAGGTGGCGGGCCAGCCCCGACTAAATTCGGCTTAGCGCGATCGCGGCGGGGCGCTGAGATAGAAAGCGTGTGTCTCTGAGGGGTAATCTGTTTTCGAATTCTACTGTATCTGATCTAGACTCGAAGGAGTGCATAGCAGTCTGTCTCTCAGAATTTGAAGACCTACGGGGATAGCCGATAGCCTTGTGGCGTGGGTGGTTGTTCCGCCTGATGGTATGGATGTCTACTGCAGTAGATGCTGTCTCCATACTCTAACTGAACTCCGTGATCGATACGAGGCGATACCAAGACCTGAAGATTATGCAGGACAAATACTTGCACATCCAGCGAGGCATACGGTCACCATCTCAACCTTGATGGGCCCTACAAATCGTTCATGAAGCTTGTACCCGAATGCGACCGCTGAGAATCCAAGGTATACGAGCGTGGAACCCAAATGCGGGTTCAGTCACGCTCCGTCAACGCATGGACATCGGAATATCTGACCATCAAGTTCTAGAGGGAGAGCATATGACTGCTCATCCCGTTCGGAAAGCTCACATTTTGCTCTACGTAGCGGCCATGAAATTCTCAAGGCTGTGGGGACAGAGCGCGTTCTTTGTGAGAGGCGTTGCAGCGAATATTCTGGTTCAGCTTTAACGCGCCCTCGAGCCAGGGGGCGGGGTCCCCCAGAGACCCCCGTTATGGGGGTCGGCGAGGCAATTCCCAATTGCCGGGGGTGCCCCCAAGGCGACGGGCAAGACTTCCCTGCCAGCCCGTCGATTGTGACATCTCTCAAACAGCCCCTCCATCAGTTCTCCTCATCCTTCTATCATTGGAATCCGGGTCTTATTCCCCTAACGAATTTGCATGGTGCATATGTTCCCGGCCCGTGATGCACCTCCCGCTCTGCGTTGATATCCCGTGGCCCACCGTGTTATGTGATCCTAGTGCGTGTAACGCTTGGACGCTTTCCTCTCTCTTGTATGCTACACGGGAAGTACTATCGCCTTCCTCCCTCAGTACGACGAGCTGTCGTTGATGGTGGTGGCTTTGACTTACGTCAAGGCTCTCCTTCGTGTCAACCACTAAGGGATACTTTGATTCCTTATGCCAGCCCTCTTCGCCAGAGTACGGCCTCCCATTGTTGACAAAACAAAAAGGTCTGGTGCTGAAATTGAAATTGAGTCCACTTTTCTGACCAGTGTCAAGCAAATGTGAACGGGCGGTGCGACAAACTAGTCCATGGGTCAGCGCATCTTGCCCGTCGCCTTGGAGGGCACCCCCGGCAATTGGGAATTGCCTCGCCGACCCCCGTAAAGGGGGTCTCTGGGGGACCCCGCCCCCCGGCTCGAGGGCGCTTTGGAACGGAATCAGAGCATGCGCTTTTGTGCCTTCCAGATAGGACAAGGCCTTTCTGTACATCAAAATCAAACCTACATGACATACATGGTTCGTACAAGACTAAACGGCTAGGGACCCGCATCCTCGCAGCGGCGTGGGGACCAGAACCCAAATCAAAACTCTTGGCCTCACGTGTCACAGTCCGACTATGAGCTTGACTGGCATGGCCAATCGCGTGATACGCAGATCATGTAGGTCGTCTTCAAACGCTCGTGCAGGAACCGGCGCTGCGTCATTTATCGGGCATCAGAGCTTCATCGCCGGCAGAGCGCGTAGCAGGTTGGTAAATCGGATCTTCAGGTATTATTTCACTTGATCATAGTATATTGATGAAGGCAATCTCTGCGACTACTGAAGAGGCTGATTGACTTCGCACATGTCATATATGCGTAGTCTTAGCAAGACATCATGATATATATCCGCGTCTGCCCTTAGCTCCTTACTAGTAGCCCATCCATCATAGAAGGACGCCCAGAAGATATACTGTATATGAGAGCGGCCTACGAAGTCGGATTTCTCAGCCTGTACGAGGCGTGGGCTACGAACCTGGAGTCTTTGTTACTCCAGAGCCAATGAGAGACGCAATGACGACCAGAGGAAACGAGTCCGCAATGTTGCGGCCTGCCGCCACCGCAATTCTAGCGACCTCGAGGCCCCTTTGGCACACAGGAACGATTTAAAAACCATCCGACGATAACGGTTACAACCTCTCATGCCGTCACCCCAAGGGGAGTTCACAGAGCCTCTCAGAGGCGCGGATCGAAGTCGAGCAGGACACCTGTGGGGTAGAATTGGATTTGTGGGATTAGGGCTAAGGTGTATCGCCATCGGCTGCTGGCTCCCTACCCCGAATCGGAGGATACTTTGGTTAGTGGATGGAAAGATTATACGCTGCAGGCCTGGGTGTATAAAGAGACCATCTGCAAGACATGGTCGGCCTAGAGAACGAGAGGATACTAGGTATCAGGAAGCAAGAAATCACGCCAACTTGTGGACTGAGGTGTACTATGGCAACGATGGCTAGGAAGAAGGTTGGCGCGTCACCATCGGCTGCCGACTAGAGATCCTTACAACACTGTCAGTATAGCCCGAGAGGACGGATGCGCATGTCGGTTCACAAGAAGCAGGAAGGTTGTTATGCCGTGACCCCAAGGGGACTTAACAGAGCTGCAACTTGGCCTAAAGGGTGGGCTTAAGGAGCAAACGGGTATATGAGTGTGGGGGAAGGTTTTTGGTCCTGCTGGAACCCCAAAGGCTAAGATGTTGAAGGCAAGAGGATCTACGGACATCTAGGAATAAGAGTACTAGTGAGCTGGATAAGGAGCTGGGAAAGCATGGGGGGAAATTGCCCATCTCTCCGTTGTATTGGCTTAAAAGAACAGACTAGATCTTAGTATACCAATGCAATATTATATCTGCAATGTAGCAGAAACGGACCAATGCGATTGCGGACAAGCGAGAGAGACCGTGGAGCACTTCCTCTTCCGATGTCGGAAGTGGACTGCCCACCGGACGAAAATGTTACAATGCACCCAGATTCACCGCGGAAATATTTCCTTCTTCCTAGGAGGGAGACAGCCTTCTGATGATCAGAAGTGGACGCCAAACCTAGAGGCAGTACGGGCCTCTATACGTTTCGCCATTGCGACAGGCCGACTCGAGGCCACTTAAACATATCGACCAACACAACTCCCACACCCCCTCTTTCGACCCTACTCACCCATCACCTCGTGCTACAAACGGTAGACGCGCTTCAACTGCCGAAGATAGGATGTTGAAAACTTGGAGAAGCGCCTTCAAGTCAGCCTACTAACAAACTACTAACCCACGAGAATCCGCTGCGATACGAGCATCTGAGACGACATACTCTGAATGCAATCATGTATGGGCTCTGATGAGACACAGTACTGTATATATTATGACATGTATAGTAGATCAGCGATAGTTGCCCTTTCGGCTTAGCCGCCGGGCGTTAATGAATTGTTTGTTTGTTTGTTTGTACACTGCACCTGCGCCTGTGGAGTAGAAATCAGGGGACTTTGGAAATGAAGGCCCGGGTGCTTGTCCGAATTTAGGCCTGTTGAGGCGATGCATTTGTTTAGCTACTGTTATCTAAGTTTTGTTGATAGCTCCCAGAATATGTGAAGCTCTCAAGGCTAGCGAAGATACAGAGTAACTGGTGTGTAATTTCTCGACTCTGAATAATTGCTTTCCTAGTAACCATGCCATAGATCTGGGGGTTGAAGATGATCCTAGGAAGTAAGGATCTCGCGACGTAGAATGTGAAATTTGGACCGATACTCGGTCCAAATTTCACAAAGATGAAATGAGGGCAACAAGTGTGGGCAGAAAGAAGAGGCCGTTAATTGGGCAACATAGGGCGGACATAGTTGGGCAACATGCTGTAGAGCGGTGCAAAGACACCGATAAACATGAGGGTCAACAGGCAAGTAAACTTGCAACCGGTGAACAATCGGTTGTCTCATAAAATGAACGTGTACAGTAAACAGACTCAATGATTTTCTTGTCAGACAGTGAAAGAAGTAGGGTGTTTATTGAATGTGATTGGCCAGACTACAGACTCCACCCCAAGTCACGCGCATTCCCTAATACCTAGGCACCCCCCCCCCCCCGTAAGTCCCAGTCCATTGCAAGAATTTATTTCAACCTTCTAGCTATATGTTGTTAGTGAAGTCCGTGACCTGCCCAATTTGAACCCATATCTCTCAGGCCTGGAATTATGGTCTGTTACGTAGTGGACCAATCATATTTTCCGTACTGACCAATAGACGCATTATAAGTTATTGAATCTCATAACATATTGTTCATCTTTCACGAGAGCTGGTCATTGATGATACGGGCTTATTTTAATACTGTATATAAAAAACGCATTGTCACGACGGTAAATCATACAGGTGATGAATCGGCCACATCTGCCACCTCGATTCTTAGGATCATCAGAACGATAAGTAGCCGTTACTGACTTCAGACACTACTGCGTGTACTGTAGCGAATCCTTGCGCGTGAAGGATTAATCCACTCTGGAACCTCAGCTTTGGAACCTCAGCTCATCGGGCTTTACGCTCAGTAACTTGAACTATCAAGAAAAGGGGGAAAGAAAAACAATCAATGGTTGCTTTATGTCGCTGACTGAAAAGGCCAAGCAAATCATCAAATGCAAAGCTTCTAGTCTAGTGGAAGTACCGCCTTCGTCCTAAGTTTCATTTACTAAATATTATTCCGGTGTGTCTTTATCAACAAACTTCAGATCCCGATCAGTCACTAGTTTTGGGGCTGGATAGTAGGAGTTCTAGACAAGTTAGTCGGCTTTTCGTGAGGGACAGTTGGAAGCATACCAATTGCGAGCCAAGAAAAGCCCAGAATCCCGAAGAATCCGCTGATAAGATGAAAACTTCGCCGGATTCCCGAAGGCGTATGCCGACACAGACATCAGCATCGCACATCTTGCTATATTCGGCCGCTTTTCTCATAAGGCTTGATTTTCGACGGCCTTGTTTTTGGCGCTTAGACTTTCTGACAGATTTAGATCGAATGGGCGGGGAAGGAAGTGTGGAAGCCATATGAAGAGACTCGTCCCTGTGAGAAAAGACTAAATGAAACTGGGGCAGTAAATAATCGCAGGTATAGACCAAGTGACACCAAAGGATTCTGAAGGCTACAGACAGGTATTTGTACAGAAACAAGGGCTCTCTCATGTTTATGGATTTACTCGTTGAAAAGGAGTGCTGCGCTCCAGAAACCGTGGTCTTTAGAGTTCGTGGTCAATTAGGACGTTAAACAGTCCTCCGGCAGGTGAGGAGTTCACGGCAGGCAACAAATCTTGCGTTCAAACCCACGACCAAAGGTAGTCGAGGAATTCGTGCTCAAGAAACTGCGGTCTTGAGAGTACATGACTAGCAAAAATCCGAATTGGTCATTCCAGCAGGTGATCAACGTAAAGTGCGCCAGGCGATTCATTATTACGTCTATTTCGACGCCTGATGCCGAGGGACGCATCAAGTCGAGGCCTGTTTACTATATAACAGAGAATTATGATCTTGAGGGTCAATAATAATTAAATAGTAAATGGCTGCTTGGGGAAGTTCGGTCATTTGTACAGCGTGATGGATGATAACATGTAACGGCATTTGGCAATTGACTCAACGACCCTTTCCACGCCAAATATCAACAGAATGACCGGATTATTACAGTATCGACTAGACAATGATTAAAGGAAGTATGAGGGTCAACGGGCGAGAAATTGGTAGTCGGTGATTATACGGTTGTCTATGGTCGAAGACAATAAATGAACGGATTTAATTCTCGCTAGACACAGGGAAAGAAGTAGGGTGTTCATTGAATATTACTGGTCAGACAACAGTCTCCACTCCAAATGACGCGCATTTCCTTATACCCAGCCACCTCCCCCCCCCCCTTCAGTGTGGTGCAAGAATTTATTTCCCCTGCTACCCAAGTGTTCGTGAGGCATCCACTCTTATGCCATATTCTCAAGGCCTCACCTTCCTGTCCTGATTAGCATGTTGCTATTCATGTTGAGGGAATGAGAATACATTATGTCCCTCTCCGATCAGTGTCTTTGCACCATTTTTTGCGCATTTACCTGACCCTTTCCAGCTGTTACTCCCGGCATTTTTATTTGCATTTTCAATTTTGATGGCCCATGCTAGATCCACTTTCAATCTCGCGAGTGAGACCTCACGTTCCTAGGATCACATTCGATCCCAGGTTGACAACAGATAATTTTCAGCTACCTCATTTCAAGAGTAGGGGTCGCTTGGAAGGCAGGAAATAAGAGTTTTCTTCCGAGAGGGCTTAGCTTATAGAAGAATCCTCTTGAGAGGGAATCAGTCACAGTAGGACCTGCTGGAGAGCACAGGTGACACAGAAGGCCACACGTCATATGAACTGGCTCTTCGTACTACTTAGCTTCTAGCCCAATCATCCTAGGCCCAGACGAGCCTTGAGATAGTCTAGAGGTTACCATGGGTTGCGGCCGGCGGTTTAGCCGGACGCTGGGTCCCGTGGCATCACGTGTTGAATGATTGGATGTAAAGAAAGCCTCGCACTGGAACGTCACCCTCAACGCGTCCAAAAACAGCCAGTCGAAATGTCGTCTGAAATCGAAAGACTACGGCGCTTTCTAGCAGATGCTGAACAGCAGTTCTCTTCCTCTCAACAGCAATCTTCAAAACCCAACCTCCCTACGTTTCTTGATGGCCTCCACAAGCATCTTTTCCTCAACCTTGGAGTCTAGCCGGACGAGACACAGTGAACGCCTGGTGATCCTGCGAGTGCGGCCAACAAGCTTCGCCCCCGCAAGCTTAGAGCTTGGGGCTCTTTTGCCAGCGAGCAAGGCTTAGGGTTGCTGCAGACATAGGCTTCATACATATAAACCAAAATCGAATGAACTGCGCATGAATAAAGCCTTGACTGGCCAGAATCATGAACGTAAATACGAAAAGCATTCGTCTAGGCGCCATGGCAAACGCCGCCGCAGGTCATCATCGACATCAGAGAGGTCGCGGTGGAGCGGCATAATCAGTTCCTGAAAAAAGACGCAAGAGAAAGACCCCTGGTCCTGTACACCGACGAGAGCGGGATTGATGGAAGGATTGAAGCAGCAGCAATCGTCGACCTAGAGAATCAACATGCCCACTGCCAAATGGGAGATGATACACGTCCACCGTATCGAAATTGCACTGGAGATGATTTCAGCAAGCACAGAGCCGTGGGCTAAGCAGGCGAATAATGGGGTGGTCATCTTTGTAGGCAGCTAAACAGCGCTGAAGGCGCTCAGGCGACCACGCTCGAGACAGGTCTATCTAGCAGGATGCCACGACCTGATCCAGCAGCTTGCAGGAATGGGTGTCCGCATAGAACCCCGATGGATTCCTGCGCACCAAGGGGTCATTGGCAACGAGATTGTAGACCAACATGCAAAAGAAGCAGCCCAAGAACCGGAAGGCCCACAGAACCCACTTAACAGAGGTATATGTCTCGCAGCCGCAGTAAAACAGCGAATTCGCAGCGGTGTAGGTGTTTAGCCAGTAGCTCGTTTTATTATTCTCCTGAATATTCAGACAGAGCCCGTTTCTGGAACAAACTTCCCCCTATCCGCAACACTGGGCGGGATTCCCATATACCGAGCATGGAATTTGACCGTTGTCTGGGGTCCATCTGAATTGTAGCATTTGACCATTGCATTAGTCTTCCGCAGTGATCATTGAACTCTCTCATGATCTTCTGTGTTCCTCACAAGGATGTCTTACAGCACCATTCTTATGAACTGTGTACAAAAAATTCATTGCTGGGCATACTTCTTCTAGTACCAGTTGCAAAACAGAAACGTTGGAAATATTGTCTCCTCGATCATATCGTACAACCTCCTCACAACTGGCTGAAGGATGGAGGGATGCGGAGGTATGGTAGTATCTCGGTAAATTAGAAGACCTGATTCTTCATAGGGGAGTAAATAAAATTCTTGCGAGGCACCAGAAAGTACAAATGTCGATATGAGGCCTTGCCAAAGCTGGAGAAGTAGATCTACCTCGGGGCGCCCGAGAGAACCGTATGACAGGCTGCCGAGTTGAACATGAACAGTGGCATTGGTTTCTCCGTACATTTTCGCATATTCCAGGAAATCCAATATCTCAACGCTGTGGTTGTGGTTTAGAAAAACACGAAGTTCATCGAGAGTATATGGCGGCGAGGCTGTGCGGTTGAGGACTTCCCTTAGTATTGGGAGCTTCGATGCTGTCTTGAGGTTCATGACTCGTCGATAGATAGTGTGGACACAGGAGTGAGATCATATAATTAATTTAGAAGTCGCTCCGCTCCTTTTCTCTCTGTCCAGCAAGGTACCATGCATAGCTGGAGCAACAAGACAGATAAATGGGCTCGCATTCTTTCTGTCATGCTCCCTGCAAAACCAATCGTCATTGACTCCCAGTACCAACACACTCTTGACTGACTTTCTGGCTTAATCTTTCAGGCTGATCCACTTCCAGTATATTATTCATCATAAAATCCTCACGTGCGTTATATGAAATGGACAGCATGATTACACAATTTTGAAGGTTGACTTACTGTGCAAAAGCACCACCTTTACTAAGCTTTAAAATATCACACAGTTAGCAATTGTGATCTTAGTCCAACCCAATCGCTAGATTTTATGGTACACGTATATGCAGGTGCAAAATTTTCATCGCCTTCCCATAGCTGTTTTAGACAATGTGAACCCTGGAAAAGTGAGGATGTAATGGTGTCAAAGTTCGGGAATGGCTGGATGATATCATATCCAGTTACTGTCCAGGGTTGTTAAGCTGTACCTGTCTACATGCTTCCCGAAATCATCTCCGTCACCATGTTAATTTACGCCAATTTCTGGTAATACATCACGTCTAAGATCGAACTCAAACCCGAACCCAAAATAAACCTAAACCTAAACTTGATCTTGCTGTCGAAATCTGGGCCTGACCAGGTAGAAAACATCCTGTTCGAGCTCTGATATACCAAGTAGGCCAGTTGTTTGAGGGATATCAACAATTGGACTGAGAGAAGTTCCCAAGATGGGAGAACTTGATATAAGATCGAGTAGACTGTAGAAGTCAGGAGAAGTCTGCCATTGTGTCTGGTCGCGATGTTTTCAATGGTGTGTGGCTGGGCTGAGCGACTGATCACTGTAAGAGGAAACGTGGTGGTATCATGGAGAGTAAGAGTAGCTGATAGCTGGAGAATGGTAAGCCACAGAATGATCTGCAATGCTCGACAATTCAAGATGGTTGTCTTCAATATATCAACTTTCAGATGAGTTGGTAGAGAAACACTTCGGAAATGATAGATGCAGGGAGGGAAAGAGGTACAGTAGGACCGTCAAAATCTTTGTAGTGCAGACTCACCCACAAGGGTTGTGATACTGTAGCACTAAGTGGGTCGGTCTACTATTCTCCGGAGATACAGTTAATTCCGTAAATTACACTCAGACAAGTTTGATATGAAGTTCACCTATTCCTTTTTGAAAGTTCATCTATTCGATATAAATCTGATCGTGAAATCAGTGGTTACAAGTTCGTCGGGTGGGCAAATTCGTATGATACTGATTAGACCGCGCCAAGAGAACCATACACATCAAAACCTGTATTTTTATTACGCGGAGGCCAAAATGGTACCGAGAAACTAAAGCCATCTGGGAAGCTCAAAGCTGACACTCGCAAGAAGCAACCATGAGAAACACAACAATGTAAAACTATCTGGTTTTCTGCCTTTCTCACGCAGATATACCGGTAATTTCAATGTCAAAAATAACGTAAGATTACTAAATCTTTGGATGAAGGATAACATTCAGTAAATTTCTACTTCATTACGATTGAGTTTTGCTGTCAGCAGGGATAGTGATGTCACTGACTTCGCACATTCGGCCCTAAAAGCTGACACCCAGAATTGGCCAAGCCGTAGTGGACCAGCAAAATCCAATTCCGATACGCTTCTACGATGACTTCGCTCAAATTCGCCCACCTAGGTTTTAGACTAAGTCCCCAACTGGTTACGAAAATCCTTATTTTTTTTCATTTATGTCATGATCGGACTTATACAGCTCGTGCGAAGGTGAAAATTCTGGTAATTCCGAGTATCAGACGGAGTTAAAAGTTTAGTTTGATCGAAATCAGCGACTATTAGAGCACCCCAAAATCAGCTTTTACATCCTCTTGTCACTCAGAAACGTTGTTGTCTAATTCAACTTCTTTGATTTGTGTTTCTGATCTCGTTATTTCGACAAACTTCTCCATTGGCATTATGTCCAGCCGGTACGCGAAAGTTCATGAAAACCCTCAGGGCCCAGGAGATGCCCGACCAACGGCACAGCAGGTTATTCATGACGAGGATCTGGAAGGCAAGTGGGCTGTTCGGTCAGTCTTGATTACTGGTGCATCCTCTGGAATTGGTGTCGAATCTGCCAAAGCGCTTTTCACCACGGGCGCAACACTGTACCTCACGGCACGAAACCTGGATAAGGCAAAGAATGCCCTGGGGGAATTGACATCCTCCCCGCGTGTGCACCTTTTGGAATTGGATCTGGAGTCCTTTGAAAGTGTGCGCGCCTGTGCTAGCCAACTCCTCTCCATGACCAAGACTCTTGATGTTTTCATCGCCAACGCCGGTGTCATGGCAACGCCAGAAGGGCGCACCAAGGATGGCTTCGAAACCCAGCTCGGGACCAATTACCTCGCTCATTTTCTGCTATTCCTTCTCTTACGCTCAGCTCTATTAGCTGCTGCCGCTTCTCCTCGACCCAATTCCCGAGTCATTTTCTTGTCATCTATTGCCCATCGATACTCGGAAGTTGTCTTTGATAACCCTAATTTGGACGGTGCTTACGAAAAGTGGAAGGCGTATGGACAAAGCAAAACCGCTTTACTTTGGGTAGCTAATGAGGTTGACCGCCGCTACGCCTCTCACGGTCTGCGTGCTTTCAGTGTTCAACCCGGTGGCATTCAGACCGGGCTGCTGCAACATATGTCAGACGAAGAAAAGACTGGACTTTCCTCTGATCCGACTCTGGGACCTCAATTCAAGAGTCCCCCTCAAGGCGCTGCTACCTCTGTATGGGCGGCAACCTCTAAGCATCTAGAAGGGATGGGCGGAAAATACCTGGAAGACGTCCAGATTGCGAAGGCGTACGACCCCAGTGAGGGGCAGTGGGCACCGGGCTACTTCCCTCACGCCTATAGCCCAGAAAAGGAGAAGCAACTTTGGGAGATGTCATTACAAATGGTTGGAATTGAGGAATAATGGCCTTTGAGCCTTTGTTTCGGTCTGCACGGGCATGGCTCGAAAAGAATTTTCGCCTTCACATTTACGTGACAGCATCGCACCATCACCGTAATACCTTCCACTTTTGACCGCCTGTATTCAGATTATAAGGATAAAAAGATAGATATATTGCAAAACGAATTTTCTTTATTCTGGCTCTCGCTGTGGCAAAACTTTCACACCTAATCTGCCGTAGTCGCTGTTCCCTGTAGCTCTAACTGGTTCTCACACACTAGGGCTGTCTTAAGTCTTTGCTGGTTTCCTGAGAAGCGGAACAAAACTGAAACAATGCGGCCAAGTGACATGATATTCATGGAAATGACTACCATAAAAAAGGTCTGGGTACAATAATACAGCCACTGGCTGAGAAGACACGTCTCAGTATCCAACAGACGCATCTTGCAGACTCTGTTCGGGGATCCTTCGGAATCGGCGGTAGCTGCAGATCATATTAAGGTCCACGCTAATTGCTGACATCCACATCCATACATTGTTTCGCCTGGGTCACATGGCTTTTCGTATATTACCGTCCGTTATGACGAAAACCAACCCCACCTTATCGTGTAGGCTGGACGAACGAATGGTGACTACAACCCCCTCGGCGAAACCGCGGGTCTACTTGCATTACCATTCAACGTTTAACATTGATTACCAATATTGGCGAATCTGTAACCTGATAAGGAGTAGTGGCGGTAGCCGCTGAAAGATAAATAGCCCATCCTGCACAGGTCATCATTTAGTGTCTATGATCACCACTGGTTGGACATCCAATACTCACCTCTTTTACAAATACGCAAGGTTATTGTCTGAGGAACGATATAGTGAACCATGGAAAAGCACCATGGAAACAATGTCGCTGCCCAGGGTCAGGATCTTCCACACCAACTTCCATGCCAGATCGAACTGAAACGGCTAGATCACTGGGTCGGAGTTACAGACCCAGTGGAGCGAAGGAGACTACAGAATAGGCTTAATCAACGTAATCATAGTCAGCACTCCCTGCCTTCCCTGAATTGACTGTTTCCCGTAAAGCTTACATAAAAAGCAGGACGCCGCCAAAGAGGAAATCCTCCCAAGCCCGACTCGGGTCGATTACTTTACAAGCAGCAAGCAGCAATACCGGTCGAGACAATTGACTTTTCAAGTCTAGTCGATTGCAAACTCATCGGAATTTCGGCGAAAAATTGTGAGCCTATCATCTCCTGGTTAGAATATCGGGTTCATCGCCAGTTCGCCCTAGGGTCTCCTCGTTCTGAACTTCTGTTCGGATTGACTCGGCTGAACGTTATTCGAGCACTTCATGCCAATATATATGCCCTTGGGTATGTACCAACCCAGATGGACGATGAAGCAGAATCAATTTTCAGCATACCTGGCCCGAAGCCCATTGAAATCAACGAAGCTGCGCTGCCCCCGGCTTTGCGACCCACTGAGATTCAGCGCTCAATTCCTCACCATCCTTGGCTTGATTTGATTCCTATTTCCAAGATGCGTGATAATTTAATATTGGCGGGGAATTTGATCGATGATGTTAAACTTTGTCATGATATATGTGGTCATGTTGCATCAAGAGTAGGTACTAAACGCTCAGCTGAAGCAAATGGGGAGACTGGTCTCATTGTCTGGAAGGATCCTTGGGATCCGAGTGGGTGGGAAGTTACAGAAACTTTTCTTCAAAATTGGAGCTGGATCCTGCGAGACTGCTGGGATTTGGTTCAATCGACTAATGCCTGGAGAAAAAAAAGGGGGAGAGACCCTTATGGTGCTAGAATGGATATTGGTATAATAAAGTAATTTGCAGTCAATTTATGCTTCATGATCCTACCTCGACACTTTATAGACTAGATACCCTTCAATAGATCAGCTTAAAGGAGCCTGAGTTTAAAACATAATATCTGAGAATTTCTAGGAATAATCTGTGCTTTTCGAGATGTCCTCCAACGCGCAGAAGTTCTCGCGAAGCTGGTCAACTTTCAGCTGGGCAGTGTCGTAAGCTTTGTTGCCCAAAACCAACCTTAGATATTGCTTTCTGTTATGAGCCATTCCTTCTCCCATGACGACTTCATAAATCCTTTCCGCCGCCTTTCTCGGATCACCTGGCTGAGTCCCGTGCTCTGCCTGTAGATACTGCATGGTTTTCTCGACTGCTGTTCCCATGTAAGGCTCGCTGGGCGACTGGTAGGATACAGCCCCGTGGCCCAAAAAGTTGGTTCGAAAAGCGCCGGGCTCTACAAGGAGAACTCTGATACCAAAGGATGACAACTCAAGTGAAGCTGATGTTGACAGTAGTTCCTTAGCGTGAGTCTCGCATGATTGGTAGCATAGCCTTTGTGACTTTGATGACACCAACACGTTGGTTTCAAACTCTGCTTTCACGGTAATTTCACTAAAGCAAGTAAGTTAGGTTATTTACCCAAGAAATAAAGGATGAAGGACGGAAACGTCTTACTCGACATTTTCAAGTGCGCTTAAAACCGCGAAGCCTGCGTTGTTGACAAGAACATCGAGGCGACCATAAATTGCCTGGGCTTTCTCAACCGTCTTCTTGATGACCTCCTCAGAACTGGTCACGTCAAGCTCCAACCAGTGCAAGTCTCGCAATCTCTTCTACCAGCTCTGGAGTTTTCGAAGGATTACGGGAGGACGCAATCACCCTATGTCCATGGGCTAGCACTGTACGAGCGATCGAAATTCCAAAACCAGCCGAGCAGCCAGTGATAAGCCAAACATGAGAAGTAGAAGCCATGTGTTGATGTTGATCTCAAATGAAAATCTGGGCAAATTTATTCAACAGTTCGATAAACGAGTGGCCTTTTGTACTACTTACATGGTTTCAGTGGATCTTGATAAAGGCTGACTTCTTTTTGAGCCATCTCGGTGTTAACACAGTACCGGAGATACCACGGCTTTTACTGTTGTAACGGGCCTGTATGTATGTAACATATCTTATTAGTGACCCGCGCACACTCATGACCAGCGCACCCGAAAATACCATATCAAAAGCGATAAATTAAAATTCTATATCTCAACGTGGCTAGTTGGTCCTGACAAGTTAGGCGCCCTTCTCGGCCCTTGAATTACTAGCACCTAGAATACTAGTGACTTTTGTATTTTTACTCTCTTCTTCGTTCCTTCGATTCTGTAACATTGGCCCAAGCATCAAAAGACCGGACGGGAATGCAGTGCAGTACTCGCTTTTAAAACAGGTAATTTACAGTGAGAGAGGACTGGGCACCCAATGTGGTATGGCATTTGGCTGGATTTGGATACAAAAAAATGGGCTAGAGATGGGAGAGAAAGTAAGACTAAGTTTGTGGGATGATGACACCTGCAGCAATAGTGGGGGAGCAGGGTATCAAAATTTGCCGGTTTCAGACAAACTTTTCGCTGGTGTACCCCCACCCTTATGTCCGGCAAATTCCTCCTTTTGACTCTCTGAGTAAAGTCCGAAATTTCCCGCTGGGTGGATATTATGATGACAGGTCCAGCACGATGAGGTATGGCTGATATGAACCAAACTTGAGCTTATTCTTTCCGGTGCTTGCTGCTTCGAAGTAAACGAGGATGGATAAGGCGGATCCAAATTTTGACGATATAAATACACCATGATACCCCTAAGTTTTTCATTTCACTTAGAAAACTTCTTCTATTTATTCGGACTACACGATGGCATCTTCTGATAAAGTTGGTTACGTGAGGTATGTCCCGCATATTAGCAAAACACCTATCCATGCATACACTAGCTCACTCCTTTATAGACTAGGCAATTCCGGCCTCAAGGTCTCTCAAATAGTCCTCGGTTGCATGACTTACGGTGACACCGCCTGGCAGCCATGGTTGTTGGACGAGGCGAAGGCACTTCCTCTCATCAAGTATGCATACGATCGCGGTATCAACACTTGGGATGTTGCGGACACATACTCGAATGGTACCTCCGAAGAGATTCTTCGCAAAGCAATGACAAAGTATGACATTCCTCGTTCTCGCGTTGTGATCATGTCGAAATGTTTCCACTACGTTGACGAATCACGCGGGCCTTTGAGTGCAGGCACCTTTGGAATCAACGACGGTGACCAGGTCAACCGCGTTGGCCTCTCCAGAAAACACATTTTGGATGCAGTCGACCGTAGCGTTGAACGGTTGGGCACGTACATCGACGTTCTGCAGATTCATCGATTGGACCGGGAGACTCCAATGGAGGAGATCATGAAGGCACTGAATGACGTCATCGAAAGTGGCAAAGTGCGGTATATCGGTGCAAGCTCGGTATGACTTTTATTAAAATCTAACCCTTCAAGAGAAGTCCAGCGCAACTAACAACATATGTATCTCAGATGTCCGCATGGGAATTCCAGATGCTACAAAGCATAGCTGAAAAGCACGGCTGGCATAAGTTTATCTCTATGCAAGGGTTCTACAACCTCCTATACCGGGAGGAAGAGCGGGAAATGTTCCCCTATTGCCAGGCTACGAACGTTGGACTACTTCCTTGGTCGCCTCTCGCGGCTGGTGTCTTGGCTCATTCCTGGACTGACCGCTCCGACAAGCGTGAAGAACAAGATGTGTTCTTGAAGGCACTTTTCCGCAACGGGGAGGACCAGACTGCCAAGGTCATTGTAGGCCGTGTTGAAAAATTGGCGGCCCAAAAGGGGGTTAGCATGGCGCAAGTGGCCACTGCTTGGGTGTTGTCTAAGCGTGGAACAGCCCCGATCTTGGGTCTGGATTCAGTGGAGCGGATTGACCAGGCTGTGGATGCCTTGAAAATTTCCTTGACTGAAGCCGAAATTAAGTATCTCGAGGAACCATATGTGCCAAAGCAGGCTATGACATTCTGAGATCTTATTTCCTTCGCTGTGTCTGCTAGGCTACGGGCTGCTTTGAGAAAAGACAGGGATCTCCGGAATCACCAACAGGCAGCAGTCTCTCCGAAGAACACCTTGTTGTGAGTTAGAATCAAATAGACAGACAGGGTGATAGCGGTGGGAGTCTGTCCAGTCCAGCTGCGCATACGAGGTTCGTTATGCCCTGCTTTGTGGTCCCAGTGTCATAAACCTTCTATCAAATTGCCTTTTTAATCATATGAACAAGTATGAGCAAAGTTTTCCCACAGTATGATGATAATGACTAGAGTCCGTATTTCCGCATCGCCGTGTTCAATGTCAAGCTGTAACTATCTACAGATACAAGGGTTTTACTTTTTGGCTTTCCTCCCCCGTTCTGCACTTATTGATTGAAAGGACAACTACAATATTGCAACCAGAGTAAATAAGTAAATGCACTAGACCTCGTCGATCTGATATCAGTTCACTTGAGCGTGATCTTTTTCACGGGTGCAGTCAAAGAAAGAACGTTTCCTTAATTCATGCGGTTTTTATATGTCTGTCCTGATAGAATAAAGAGGTAACCATGACAGTATTCTGATACCAACATCCACATCATCATTTTCAATAAACCGGTCACGCTCCTGTTGACGGCTTGTTGATTCCTAGAGGCGTAAGTGGCGCTCCTTGGGCTATAGCGTAGCCTTTTAAAAGTGACTCGATGGCGCAGGTTTGTGCGCAGGATTGTTGAAGGTGTTTGTTGAGGGCATTTCACGAAGTCGAAAGGGACTATGATCACTCTAGGATCCCAAAGTATGCTTTCAGGGGCTCTGCAGCTCCTGGATCTGGATGGTTTATTCCCAGAGCCATTTAGATATTCAGCCAGGAACATAGAGTAATGGTCTCAGGAGCAGATCTCGTCTTCCTGGAACCTATAATAGCCCCAGGAGCTAAAGTGTATGGGATCAGCTCCTGCAGATGACATCGAGTCCGAGAGTCCATTATATTGATTTTCAAAGTCAAAATGATAAGCACAAGAGTGTGTTAGTCTGCTGCCAACTTTGAGAGGTGTGTTTTCCGCCAACAGTCTCCGTTCACACGTGACGCAACTCTAAGATGTATCTGTCTGTTTCATCGCGCTGTTCGGTACTGTAGGATATAGAAGCATTTCGTAACGTGGTTGTTAGATTACAGACTAGTACGGGCATAGCCAATCGAGTACTTCAGGGTGTGGTTTTCTATACTATGGAAGTGCAAAATGGATGGGGGATCAGCTTAGTAAGCTTGTTAAGTCCCTTACGATCGTCAGGTTGGATATTCTTCGGGCGCGCTAAACATTGCGGCTCCCTTTGGTCGACAGAACAGCCTGCCAGCACAGCTCAGCTCAGCGGTTAGTCATTTCGTCATACGCGAAGCAGTTTGCAGCCTTTGATTACGATGTAATGGTAAGGTCGGTTGCGTTTTACTCTATTCTTGAGTCGAAAAATCAAAATTGCATTTTCTGTTAAGTTTATTCCAAAAATCAACCACAGGTATGATGCCCGTTGCTGATCACAATTCCGTCACAATTCCGAGCGTCCAATCAAGCATTACCGGATATGATTGAGACCCATTTTGCTGAAAGCCCCGTAACATACTTCGCTGATCTCACCTACCGAGTCGAAGTCAGTCGGGCCGAACGACGGAGCGGTGCAGTAGACGTGGCTCGTGGTGGATGGGCCCCTGATAGTCTGGCGGAGCGACGGAGACCACTTCGCTCGATTGCTGCCGGCAATCCCTCCGACCGCTGACGCGACTGACTCTGAGGATCGTTCGCTGAAAACACTCTGACGGCTGCAAGTCCTCCATTGGGTGACGATTGGCTGGCCGTGTTGACAAAATGTGTTTCGGCATTAGAAGAAGGGGCTGGTAAAGGGCGAATCAAGGCGTCCACAGCTCCTTCGTTTCGACTGTAGTCATCAGCATCCTGGTCGTCGCAGAAACAAGATCATCCACACTTACCACACACAGCATGACGTGCCGAAGCCCGTATCTCGCTTGTCCAACCACTCTTCCGCGCAGGATAGATGAGAACGCGTTTGGCATTGTGGACAACACAAGATCACGGACTCGTTCGCATGTTCTTCATCCTCGGCCAGGCAGAACGCACAGTGGATACTGTCGACCTCGTCGCTCGGGGTGAGACTCTGGAGCGTCAATTCTTGGAGACCAGCCCAGATATTAGCGACCGACGCTAGAATAGCCGGTTGGGCCGGCGAAACGCGCCATGGAACACTGTTCCTCTGCAGCATCGTGGAAGTCACAAATGGATTGAATGACTGCACTGGCTCGGGGTTGGTTGACAGCCGCACCGGCGGGCCTTGTCTGAGGCCGTTTGGAGGTGACCGGTCAGTGATGCCTGATTCAGGGAGTCGCCTGGAGGCTGACGATGTCTGACGCTGGTTCGGATGTACAATAACTGATGGAGAGGCCATTCTGGAGCCATGTGGCACTTGCGCCTGGTTGCGGACGGCTGCTTCATACCACCGCTGACCAAGTTGCTCGGCCTGGCGTTGTCGATGCCATCTCACACAGAGGAACTCTTTGGCAACATCGCAGAGCTTCGATTGCAAATTTGACAGGTCAAACGGCTCTCTGGCGAGAGTGGTCAACTTTTGATGCCCTATCTTGGCGTCTTCAACTTTGATCGAGTTCTTGCACGGCTCGCCTTTTTTCGTCATGCCGCAACAGGAGCCGGGACCACTGTGAGGGATCCCGCAGGCAGAAAATGGGTTCCAAGGCATGGTAGACATTGCGGTGGTCTTCAAAGGGACAAAATGCTTCGAATTGTTGGTGGTGTTGGGCAATCTCTGCAGCGTCCCCTCGTCAGCTTATATACCATCTCCGTAGGCTCTTGCCATGCATGTCTGCGTGGCTGCTGGCATGCAACGCCTTCCTTGAAACAGTCGATACGGCGAGAAATGCATTCGCATGCAGTATGCGTCGGTAAATGGCCGATCAGTAGCCTGCGAGAAGGCATATCATTCCAGGTCACTGCTGCGCAAATCAACTGCACTTGTGGCTGTAGACCGCGGTGACCATGCATTGGCACAAGGAGTGGCTACGGCGGTAGGCAGCATAGTCGACAAATGCTGAGTTAAATTCTGGGTTGCCAATGGAAATTCGAAGTGCGTGATAGGTTGTGATTTATTTTTATGGCGCTAGATGCGAGGAGTGGGTACGTAGATAGATTCGGGCTCCCGGGGCCATTGACACTGCCAGGAACACATTTGGCGTTCCCGGGAGCTAGACTCCAGATTCTCTAACACCACCTGAACATTGTTGTCAAGGCTTTGATGCTGCCGTGTGGTTGCTACACACCTCTCGGCGGAGTGAGAGGCTACACTCCTAGGTGAGAGTAAAGGTCGGTATAAAGAGGCCTGCTATATCCAGTGTTCGAGTCTCTCCCTACACCCTCCTCTGCATTTCCTATGCTTCCCAGCTTGAATCTGTCCAATCATGGTCTGTCTCAATTGACTCTTCCTGGGTCTACTGATAAGCTAACACATTACAGCCAAACATCAGAGACCTGCCCAACGAGCTTTTGCTGTGGATTGTGTCGCATTTGGATGGCACTGCATTATTCTCGCTCGCAAATTCATGCACAGACCTAAATTTCAGACTGCAGCCCAGCATCTGGAAGTACAATGCCAAATTTCAGAACAGCAATCTGTTGCATCTGGCCACCAAGGACGACAATGTTCACCTTTTCAAGGCTTTGCTCCAATATAACGCCAACATCAATGCATTCTACCGCGGCAAAACTTCTTTGATGCGGGCGCTCCAGTACTCTTCCGCTGCTGTGCGTGACTTCCTACTCAATCGGCAAGACCTAGACATCAACATTCAAAACCACGCACGGGAGAACGCCTTGTCGTATGCTCTCCAATACGGAACCTTTTCCATCGTCAAGCGCGTTCTAGAACAACCCAATGCTAGAGTGGACGTCAAGCACAAACACGGCCGAACGGCGCTCCACCTAGCAGTCTTGGCAGGCAGAATAGGGGTCGTGCATTTGCTACTTTCGAGTGGCAGCGACCCTGATATACGGGACGATTCAGGCCATTCACCATGGGACTGGGCATGTCGCTTCAATCGGCCCGTGATGGAACTGATATTTTCAAACGATCCGCAGTCTGAGGCATATCTTGGTACACAATCATCACAAGATGCTGAGCTACCTCTTCACCAAGCAGTGTCCTATGGGTCGGTAGGAGCTGTCAAACAGCTTTTCAGACACAAGGGTCTGAATTTGGAACTCCAGGACCGGAAAGGCTATACGCCGCTCCACCTTGCCATTCAAAGCAGACGCCTGGAGATGGTCAATATACTCCTCAGTCACCCCCGTGCCAACGTGAACTGCAAAGACAAGAATGGCAATACGCCACTGTGGCTGTCGACTTACTTGTCATGCCACGAGATAACCGACAGGCTGTTGGCGGAGAAAGACATCAACGTGAATTTTGTTGGCGGCCGCGGAAGATTCGAGACGCCGTCTACGTCTCTCCATCACGCGGCAATCAGATTGGACACCGTACTCCTACAACGGCTACTTGCAATACCGGGGATCGCTCTGAATCTCTGCGTTGCAGGCCAGACTCCAATTTCCGTGGCCGCATATCACGGACTTCTGAACACGGTTTCTTGTCTATTGAGTGCGGCAAATGTAGAGATCAATGGAACGGGCTCCATAGATCCACCGATTTGTCAAGTGGTTGCACACGGTCATCTCGATGTGGTACGAGTCTTCGTACAGCAAGGTTGCACGTCTAAACATCAATGAAAGCACGATTGCAGCTCACGACACTGCTCTCTGCTTGGCCGCCCGTGTTGGCAACTGGGAGTTAGTCCGGGTACTCCTAGCCCATGATCAAATTGATGTCAATCTCAGAAATTCGCGAACCGAGGATCCATTGATGTTGCCGGTCAAGGGGGAACATTTTTCGGTTGTTGAATCCATTTTGGCCAATCCCGGA